AGCAAACGAAGCAAGCGAAAGTGCCAAATGCACCCCTTCTCCTCCTAAGCCGAAAAGCGCGTCCTCAACTTAACAAAAAAGAAATTAACTAAGAGAAACCTGAGTAGAAATCCTACTTTGAAAGACGATTAGCAACCAAAGGAGAAGGATTTCGTTTATTTTGTTCATGTTTCACATAACAAACTTAATTTGTTTGGACATTTCCTTACAGTATTGTTCGCTGCAGAGCTGCGGCGTGGCAAGGAGGGGGCAGATCCGGCTCAACGCCTAACCCTTGTTGCAGCGAGCGGACGCAATCGGTGGAAAACGAGTTGGCGCCGCGCCAAACGCAGCGTCAAGATTCTCCAGAGCCTCGTTAAACATCCCAAGTGAAGGACGGGTAGTGATAAGAAGGCGTATGCTTTGATAAGTCTTTAAGACTCTGATTTTCTGATTCGCAATTTGAAAACAAGTGTCACTGTCACAAAAATGAGTTTCATAAATGTATTTAGCTAGGGCAATGAGCCTCAAGGGAGGAGAATTACGGTATTCTTCGAAAATTTCAAATTAAAAAGTCAAAATTTAAATAAAATTCCATAAAGAGATGATGAATAGCTCACTTCCTGCTCGTCCACGTTTTATACTTTGTAGCGGGTTCACGCCCATATCGGATAACCGTTGAATGACGTGTTTCGATGATGACGGATGATGCTGACTTATCACTGACGATCGATGCGTCGATTTCACTACCGTCGATCGATGACGAGGTTTTTGATCGGTTTGATTTGATGGTTTCGCTACCGCTGCTGGTGCTGCTCGTGTACCTATAAATCACACTTTAGATATCCTTAGAACCACCTCTGGATTGGTCCAATAAGTCATTAGGTCATTAAGTTCAAGTTGCATATTGATTTCGTTTGCAAGAAATCGGCACCCAATTGTATCTAGTGTGCGTTCATACTTTGCGACAGCTTTGAGCTCTGCTAGCGCTTTGAGCGACTAGGAAAGTATGGAATCGAGCCAGCGTTTTAAGCGTCGGTGTTTAAAGCGTCCGCTAGCATTTCCAGCGGTAATGCGATTCGATGTGTAAATCAGTACCAATAAGGATAGACTATGACCTGTGCACTGCAAAAGAAAAACAAAAAGTGAGAGGAAAAGGAAACAAAAGAAGCGCTCGCGAGCACGACACGGCATTTGACGCCACACTCAAAACCGAGAACCCGCGTTCATTATCGATTGGTTTGAGTGCGCCTAGG